CAGGTGAGGGGGCGCATCCCTGCGCTCTTTGCTGCCCCGCTGACAAAGCTGTGCCCACTGGGCAAATGCCACGTTGTTTACTTCCTCAATTGCAAGTCTCTTTTTTTAAAAAAATATATTTTATTGATTTTTTACAGAGAGGAAGGGAGAGGGAGAGAGAGTTAGAAACATCAATGAGAGAGCAACTCGATCAGCCTCCTGCACACCTCCTACTGGGGATGTGCCCCCAACCAAGGTACATGCCCTTGACCGGAATCGAACCTGGGACCTTTCAGTCCACAGGCCGACGCTCTATCCACTGAGCCAAACCGGCTAGGGCACAAGTCTCTTTCCGAGGAATTTGGTGGGGAAAGAAGAATCGGGCCTGGTGGGAAGACCAAGACCGAAGAAGAGCCCTTACTATTGCAGTTCTCCTTCATCCTTCTGGGCATTTTGTTTTCCTCTCTCTTCCCAGTTGCACATCTCTTGGAAAAGCCTTAAGTGACGATTGGAAAACCTTATCTGATCACCACTGAAGCGTTCTCCTTGGGAGCAGCTTTTCTCACTCTCCTTGGAGCTCCTCCTCACACCTGTTAGAGTCCCTGTTTATAAGTTGCCAGCACTGGGGCAGGTGAATTACAGGTAGAGGTGGTTGGAAAGTGGGGTGAAGCTAGCTTTTTTATTCTCTCTTCTTGTCAGAATTTCACCTACAGGAATCAGTTCTTTAAATAAGAATTTTTTAAATAACTTACAAGGAAGGTGATAGGTTGTCAGTAGTTATTAAAGGTAATTCACCCTCCTGCTTCTCTCGGGACACAGTTTTTCTACTTGGCTGACCACATAATTTCTTTTGCCTTTGATTTGTAAAGTTAGGGATGTCTTTTCCCTCCAACAGCTAAGCCAAGTTTGCGATTAAAAGTGTAGTTAATGGCCCTGGCCAGCGTGGCTCAGTGGATAGAGCGTCTGCCTACGGAGTGAAGGGTCCCAGGTTCGATTCCGGTCAAGGGCACATGCCCAGGTTGTGGGCTTGATCCCATTGTGGGGCATGCAGCTGATCAGTGATTCTGTCTTATCATTGATGTTTCTATCTCTCCCTTCCTCCCTGAAATCAATAAAAACATATTTTTTTTAAAAGTGTAGTTAAGAGCCCTGGCCAGCGTGACTCGGTGGTTAAAGTGTCAATTGAATCTCAGGTTCAATTCTTGTCAAGGGCTCATATCTGGGTTGCAGGTTCAATCCCCCGCCCTGGTTAGGGCCTGTGCAGGAGGCAACCATTCGATGTATCTCTCTCTCCCTCCCCTCCTTCCCACACTCCCCGAAAATCAAGGGGAAAAATATCCTGGCATGAGAATTAAAAAGGAAAGTGTAGTTAAAGTAAAGGATGAGCACGGAAGGTAATACATTTGATAGCAAACCTTCAAGTCCGTTTGAATTTTCCTTTCGTCTTGTCGTTCACAGATCTCTATTGGGCACCTGCTACTGTGCTAAGTGCTGCTCATTTTCTCTCATTATCCTCTAGCCGGGCTACACGTCATGGCCTCTGTGAGGCACCATTCACTAGTTACTCCGTTTCGCAATTGATTTTTCTTTTTGTTTTATTATTTCGTGGTAAAAGCTGTTCAGTTGATTTCGTAGAGTGATACAGACCCTTACAAGGAATCCTCCCCTGGAACTATGTGTAGTCTTTTCATCTAAATATACTACCACGGAAGAGTTTTTTCTAATGTTACATGCTGAACCATATTAAAGTGGTTTTCTTTCCTGTTCTAAAACTGCTCCACGCGGATGAATATCTCGCGGAGAAAGTAGCTGTCTGCGTGCGGAGGCTCCAGTGTGACCAGATATCCCAGGGCATTCGCTCGCCTCAGGGGGAGGGACACCGATCAGGAGGGCTCCTTCTTTGAGGTCCACAGTGGGCCGCCTCCGTGGCCTCTGATGCTAAATGGAGCCGTCCTTCCAGTTCAGTTTGAAGGCTCTGAGCGACCTTCCGCGAAGGAGGAGCCCGCGAGGCAGCACCACCGGCAGAAGAGCTGGACCCAGAAGATCTTGAAGCCGGCGCTGTCTGACCACGGCGAGGGGGAGCGCGTGGACCCGGCCCTGCCGCTGGAGAAGCAGCCGTGAGTCCCCTGCCCAGCCGTGTCCCCGGCAGTAGCCGGTAGCTCACTCATAGCCTGGGGGTGGAGGGAGCACACTGGCCCATTTTGCACGGTTATTGTGGCTCCTGAGTACCTGTCTGGGTGGGGCTCATTAATGAAAACCCACTTTCAAAGCCCAGGGCACTTGTACCGAATGGAAAGTTACTGCATCCCGGGAGCCTGATTTTAAATTTCATTCTCCTGGATGGATGACGACACTGCCCTGGTAGCTCCCTCTCCTGTGATGGATGGGTTTTGTGATCCAGGATTACCCAGAGCTGCATCGTGCCTGTTCTAAATGTGAGGCGGGATCTGGTTCAGGCTGTGGAGCTCCTGCCAGAAGTGCATTTCAAATAACGCTTTATGGAGTGAGGCCCTGCCTGGATTGCTGTTTTGACGCCCGTGGTGTCTCCCCCACCCTCGCCCCGTTTTTCAGTTGGTATCATGGTGCCATCACCCGTGCTGAGGCTGAGAGTCGGCTCCAACCCTGCAAAGAAGCTGGTTACCTGGTTCGAAATAGTGAGTCAGGGACCAGTAGGTACTCCATTGCACTAAAGTAAGTGTGGCAGCCTCATGGGCTCTCCCATTTGGATGGGGGCGGGGGGCGTGGTGGGGGGGAGTTGACCGTCTTTCCTATCATGGGTAGATGACCAGACAAAAAAAAGATATCATTTCAAGGTAGTCCCACAGTGGCATGTATTGCCACATAGTAAAATGCGTTTGCTTGGACAACAGAATATGAAATGCTCTAATTAGAATGCAAACGGGGTTGGGGGTGAATGCCTCAATATCTCTTATGATAATGAGGGTCCTATGTCGGTGTCATTGTCCATTAGTCAAACGTGTACCTTACATTACCCAACCTAAAGTAGGTCCTCTCACCAGAGAAATAACTCCTGATAAAAAGAATACTATCTGACAGGATAATTCAGTCATTTTTCTTTCGTTCCCTAGTGCTTTGGGACTTTAATAAATCAGATCCCTTGATTGTTCAAATGCCAAGTGCCGTTTTGATACCAGCTTCTTCTAGCGGAGGAGGAAACGCTGACTCGCTATTCCTCCCCTGGCTGGCTCTACACAGAACGTTCGTTTTTGCCTGGTAGGCCTGGTGGAGCTGGAATCATGGAAATTCTCATTGCTCCGCGAGTTCAGTGGTGCTATATCGGAGGATCATTGTCAAGCACCCTAACAGCATTTCCTTCCTGCGGAAGCTGAGCCCCTGCAGCTGAAACAATCAGGCTGGAGGGGAAAAGAGGCTGGGGCGGGAGGGTGTCGGAGCAATATGGCTCAGAAAACGGGATAGGCCACCAGATATACAATACCAGGAATAGCTTTGCTGTTCCTGAAACTGGTGCTCGCGGATTAGATCTTTGAGCCTTCAGCGCCAGCTGTCATTAGATACAGCCAGGAGCAGTCTTTCCAGATTGAGATGGGGGGGGGGGGGGAAACAGTTCGATTATTATTGTTGTTGTTGTTGATGATGATGTATTCTTTGGGGAGGAAAGAAGGAGGAAACCTTATACATGTCCTTTTAGCCATGATGAAGAATATGAGTTTAAACTTCACCTTAGTGGTCTCAAACTTGGGCTTAAGCACACTAGTTTGGCAATTTGAGGACCAGGAGGGACTGGATGTTTGTTTGTTTGTTTGTTTTTGTCTGGTGCCTGATGACTTGTGTGCACTAAGGATAAACAACTCAAGGACACGTTTATTGAGGGCTGTGTTTGTTTATAACAATTCCGGGCATGGATGAGAACCTGTCCACCTGTGAATCTGACCAGGGTTATTTTCAGTGAGGAGGGGTCCCCTTGCTCGCCTATTCATGTCTCCTCCTTGATTTGTTTTTGTTCCAGGACTAGTCAAGGATGTGTCCACATCATAGTGGCTCAGACCAAAGACAACAAGTACACACTGAACCAGACCAGCGCCGTCTTCGACAGCATCCCTGAAGTGGTACACTATTATTCCAATGAGAAGTTGCCTTTCAAGGGGGCAGAACACATGACCTTACTCTACCCCGTGCTCAACAAGCTGCACTAAGGTTCAGCCGCCACAAGCCCTGGCCGGGCCTCTCACACCTGAGAGGGCATCAGCACCCACCCAGCACCTCAGGGGACAAGGCTGGACTGCGCCACAATAATTGGTAGGAGGTGGGGGTCTCCATTGAGAAGTCAAAACGTCTTTGGGCTTGAATCCATTTCATGACACTTGGTCACTGACCTGTCCCCTTTCTCCCTGCTAAGTAGTCCTACAACGAGAAATGGCTCATGCCAGGTGCCTCCACTCTCTAGAGTAGGGTGTTCTATTTGGGTATGACCCGCAGCAAAGGTAAGTCAGGAGTCCAGGAATATTAAAGTTCTCCAGCAATTGTGCTAATTTTCACCTGGGTTACCTGGTCTCCAAACAAACCAATAAAAGTGCACTTAGCTTTTACATAAAAATGATCGGGCGGAACAGGAGAGCAAATGCTCTCAGACCCCTTTTGGACAAAAGGCTGAACAGAAAGAATAAGTGAACAGTGGACCTTAGGGAAAGCTGTCTTTCTCACGTGTCCTAGTTCAGCTTTGGAGTCCGTGAAATTTCCCAACTTTAGGGTCTGGCAAAGGATTATTTTGTTGGTCAGCCTGCTAAGAAAGTTTGTGCTTTCTTGATCTCTGAACTTTTTCGTCATTTCAACAAGTCAGTAACATAAGCATAAATAGGAAGGACAGTTTAAAAAAAATCAGTACAGGCTTCTGGTCAAGGTGGCATCATAGATGAGTGCGGTACTTGCACCCTCCCACAACCACATCAAAATTACAACTAAACTACAGAACAACCTTCACTCAGAACCTCCTGAAACCTAGATGAACGGAAGGTTTACAACTAAGAATATACAGAAGATGCCACATCGAGACTGGCAGGAGAAGCAGAGACACTGAATGGGCTGGTCTCACACCCACATGTGGGTAAAAATTGGGAGGGATCCTTGACTGTGGAGGTCCGCACTGTGGAGTGAGAGGTCTTGCCCCACACCAGGTCCCCTAGCCCAAGGCTCCAGTGCCAGGAAGGGAAGTCCCCATAACTTCTGGTTGTAAAAACCAGCTGGGATTGCAACTGAGTGAGATGGAGGGCTTCTGGAGTCCCAGGCAGTTCCTATTAAAGGACCTGCACATGGACGTACCCGGACTAGTCCCTCTGAGCTCCCATGCTAGGGCAGCAGCTCAAAAAGCACCAGGGACATAACGGGGAGGAACTGAATTGTCTGACATCAGGGTGAGGTCTGGAAGGGTGGCTTTCTACCAGATAGAAGTGTTGGCAGAAGCCATCATTCCTTTGCTGAGTCTATCCCCCTTACAGAGCCAGCAGGCGCAGGCGGTGCCATATCTGAATCTCCATCAGCCTTGTTATCACTGTTTGCCCCACCCTGGTGATTCCCTGAGACCCACCTCACCCAACTTTCAGACCCACCCACGCTTTTCTATACAAATGGCCTGTCTTGGCTCATGGTTCAGATTTTCCTAAAATCTCTCAAATAAGCAGCATTTACTTACATCTCACTAGGTATCCCCAGGCCAAGCACTAGTGGCAGTTGGTCTTGGTTCATAGCTTGGCCTCACCTGGGCCCTCCAAGCCCAGCACAAGTAACAGTCATCTGCAGATCAATGTGTCGCTCACACCCATGCCAGGAGGCCCCAGGCAGAACACAGGTGGCAGCTGGCCTTGGCCTGTACCTCCTGGAAGGCTTCAGAGCCATCGCACCTGGTGGACAGCTTCACACCAGGTCAAAGCACCACCCAACCACCTCCATAAGCAACACACGAGCCATCGCACCTGGTGGACAGCTTCACACCAGGTCGAAGCACCACCCAACCACCTCCATAAGCAACACACTCAGGGGTGGGCTCAGTGGGCACCAGATCCCTGCTGAAGTAAGTCCTGCTCTGTGGTGTAAGCCCCTACATCTGATCCCCCACCATGGTCACAGCCAGTTCTTGCAGCTGGTTGGCCTGAGGATAAATTCCTCCCCTTGCTGTACTAACAGCAATCAAGGCTCAATTGCAATAGGAGGGTGTACACAGTCCACAGTGGGGGAGAAGAGCACCTACTCCACAAGGCCACTCTACCAAGCCCAGGAGACGTAGCAGCCTCATCTAATACATAGAAACAAACACAAGGAGGCTGCCGAAAGGAGACCAAAAAACGTCCCAAATGAACGGAACAGAACAAAACTCCAGAAAAACGCTAAACAAAATGGAGACAAGCAATCTGCTAGATGCAGAGTTCAAAACACTAGTTCTAAGGGTGCTCAATGAACTCACCGAGATCTGCAACAGCATAAAAAAGGGCATGGAAACCGTAAAAAAGAACCAGTCACACATGAAGGGTCCACTAGCTGAAATGACCACTACTTTACAGGGAATCAAGAGTAGAGTAGGTGAAGCCAAGAATCAAATCAACAATTTGGACTATAAGGAAGCAAAAAAAGGAAAGAAAAAAAAAAACAGCAACAAGAAAAAAGAATCCAAAATAATGAGGATAGTGTAAAGAGCCTCCGGGACAACTTCAAGTGTATCAACATTTGCATTGGGGGTGCCAAAGGGAAGAGAGAGAGAGCATTAAAAACCTATTTGAGAAAATAATGACAAAACTTGCCTAACTTGGTGAAGAAAATAGAAATACAAATCTGGGAAGTGCAGAGAGTCCCAAGCAGGATGAATCTAAAGAAACCCACACCAAACACTTCATAATTAAAATGCAAAAGGTTAAAGATAGAGACTTAAAAGCAAGAAAAAAGCAGTTAACTACAAGGGAGCTTCCATAAGACCGTCAGCTGATTTTTCAACATAAACTTTGCAGGCCAGAAGGGAGTGGCAAGAAATATTCAGTGATGAAAAGCAAGGACCGACAACTAAGATTACTCTACCCAGCAAAGCTATCATTTAGAATCTTGTCTTGGCTTCCCAGACAAGAAAAAGCCAAAGGAGTTCATCACCACCAAACTAGTATTACATGAAATGTTGTTAAAGAATCTTGAGAAGGAAAAAAAAAAGATTAAACATATGAACAACAAAATGGCAATAATATATATCTGTCAATTGAATCTAAAAATCAAAATGAACCAGCAGAATAGAAACAGATTCATAGATAAAGAGAACATTTTGATGGTTGCCCAATGGGAGGGGGTTGAGAATGGGTGGAAAAGGTGAAAGGTTTAAGAAATACAAATTGGTAGTTACATAATGATCATAGGATTGTAAAGTACAGCATAGGGAATAAAGTCAATAATGTTCTAATAACTATGTATGATGTCAGATGGGTACGAGATTTATTGGGAAATTATATAATGTCTAATCATTGGGGCGTACACCTGAAACTAATATAATATTGTATGTCAACTATAATTGAAAAATTTTAAATGACTTAAAAAATAAAAATTTTAAAAAGAATCACCAATATAATTAAGGATTGGCATTATTATTCTGAATTTTAGAACAAAATATACAACAAAGGTTTAATTTCTGATTCGTAAAAAATCTGAAAAGTTAGAAGGCTCAACAACTGTTTTCTTATTGGATAATTATACAGAACTTCTGGTACCTTTGGTTTCATCTTTATGCATTGTGGTTGTTATGAAACTATTCATTTTTCTCCCTAAAATTAGGTTTGCTTTGTATTGTTAGAGTAAATTTTAAAAAATATGTATAACTCTAGGATCTGATTGTATGAACTGGGTCTCTAATGCTGTACAAAACAGACCAGTTCACACTGTATAAAGATATTTGAAAAGCCTGGGATTTTCTCTGGACTGTTTAACACTCATAGTATCGTTATCTTTATGATTTATTGTGAACTTCTATCACCAATTTACTTACTGTGAAAACAAAATCTGGCACTGGCATAACATATGATGGGCAGGTGACTGCCGTGACTGGCTCTGGAATTACCACTGAGCAGATGTTTCTGTGTTCTGGGGTTTGTAACTGGGTTCTCACAACTGGTCCAGTTGCAAATGTGTTGTTGTCTGTCGCTAACGAAAAGTTAAACTTTTGTCGTTTCTTTGAAATACCAAAACAAATATCGGTTTCATTCATTTTTGGGAAAGCCTAGCTTGCTAGTTATTAGTCATCATTTTACAATGATGATTTAGAGGTTAGTAAACATGTGTTTCCTTATTCAGTTAAGATTGTAGCCCAAGGATTGTATGAGCTTTGATTTTTAAAATCTGAGAGGAAATGTTTCTCACTGGGTCCCAATGATTTTATTAATAAAGAGTGTTCTGTTTTTTAAGTACTGATAGAATTTTTTAAATGTGTATTGGTTCATGTACTCTATCTTTAGCAAAAGTTTTTTTTTTTTCATTTTTAGCACCCATAGTTTCATTCAGCAAATATTTATTGTCTTGCATATATAAATAATTCATTATGTTAAACTTATTTTTAGTTCAATATTCTGGAAATGAAACCTTATTTTTTACTTAAACTTATTCTACAAAGCAAACACAGCAGTTATCCTAATTTTAATAAATACTAAAACCTTTGCAAAATTTTCTTTGTGTCCTAAATGATTTTTGGCCCATACCCAGCAACGGTGGTGAATATATAATGAAATAACATTTTGAAAGCAGACCTGATATATTAAGTATTGATTGAGCTTCTAGCAAACGCTCAGGATTGTGGCTTTTTCTATACTCATTTCCTGTGACAGTCATACTATTTTCTTTATATAATTAAAAGTGGAGATGTGGAGTTTCTTTATAGACCAGTTCCTTCACAGTTGTACAGGAGGTTATAAGAAGAAGAAATATAGTAAATTAGTAGCAGGGGAGTAGGTTAAGCTACTGTTTTCTTCAGGTTGTGACATAAGTTGACAAAGCCGGGGAGTTCACAGTTGAGCAGTGGCACGACGTACCATTCGTTCTAAAAACAATTAGGCCCAGCGGGGTGTCCCTACGGCTTCCTGGTGGAGCCTCCGGGACCAGCGGATCCTCCGAAGCGCTCTGCCACGCTTCCTCTCTGAGCTCTGAATGCCTGGGCTTCTTGTCGTCTTGTCTTGATACAGGTGTTTTCCTGTAGTCGTCATTCTTTTGAGTTAATTCTGTCCCCCAGACAGATTCTTTCTGGAGAGAGTAATGTCTTGGTGTGTTTTGGGTTTTTTTCTGGAGAGAATCATGTCTTCAAACAAGTTTGTGCTCACTTGGCTTGCATTTTGCATCCGTTAGAGCTTCCTGCATCTGCGTCCTTTCTCCTTCATCACACCTCCTTTTAAAAAAGTTCTCTGCTCCAGGTTAATAGTCTATTTCATTGGTTTGTTTCAGGCCTATGAAGAACAGAGGGTAAGAGGACTTCTCTTTTTATGTTGCTACTAGTTCCATCAGGTTGGATTCCAACCTTCGGAGTTGTGTGTATTCCAATGAGTAGGCATGAAATAATAGAGAAAAGATAACACGTGTACAAAATGGTAAATACTGACATCCTAATCCCTACTGGGGACAGATATGTCCTTTGAAGTTATCCACAGTGCTTTCTTAAGAAGCATTTATATTTTAAAAATAAAGTCTTTAATTTTTTTGCTGTTTAAAGTCTCCATGCTTTGCTGAATTATTCGTGTATTGGCCTCTGCCACAGAACGGGGAAGTGGGCAGATGATTCGAGAGACAGCCAGAAGTTTTTGGCACAGGTGGCCAACGAGTCCTAAGCCGTTGCCTTTTAAATGAGGGTAGCCTTTCTATTCTCTGAAGATGCCCTTTGTCTAGTCAACGGTTAATGCCTCCCTTCTCCTTCTGCCTGGAGAGGGGACTGAGGTGTCTAGATTTCATT